GCCCTACGAGCATTAGTCGTTCAATCATTCTGGTTACATTGCTATAGCCATTGAGAATGCAATCAACCTTTTTTGTTCCTTCAAACAACACTATTTACACCGATTACTGTTTTCACAAGCTCAGCTGTCTCGGTCATACTAGTTCATTAATTACGCTATTCAATTTCTACAAACATTAAAAACGAAATATTAAGGAATTTTTTAATTATCTTGCAATGTTATTCGAAGTTGACCAGACCTATTCCAACAGTAGCGTATGGCGTTACAGTATATAGCGTTACATGCATTAAGGATACTTCCTATTAGTCAATCGTAACGTAAATTAAATATACTTTCCAAACTACAAGTAAAATAATTAATTACGGGTATTTTATGGTTAACATATTATCTTGATGATCATTGAATAAAAGACAGTACTGTTGAATTACAGCAATGAGAAAAGTCACTTGACCTATGAATTCTCTACACTAACTACTATTTAACTGTGTTATGAAAGCCAGATAATGAAAAGTACATAACTCTGAGGTCAATAACAGACATATTACACTTGATACCGCTTGCACTTTCTTCAAGTTGCACTTATTAACAAGAGTACTTTTTCTCCTTTCTACAGTCTGCTTAGAACTGCGCCTGCTACAAAGACCATCTATTTTCTCAGAGTCACAGGTCCAAGTAGACTTGCATCGTTTCAAGTTTCCTTAGCTCTTAACTTTGCGTTCAATTGTGAAGACAATTCATCAACAGACGCGTCCTGATCTTGCTTGCTTGAGAGCACTTCATTTAGATCGTTGGCAGTGTCTTTGTCTCTTTTATTTATTTTTTCTTTATCCTCGGGAGTAAAAGACTCAAGGTCAATTCCAACTTCACGCCACGACTCTGCATTCATAGCTTGTAAGGTTACACCTGCTTCTTCTAGGTTTTGGAGGCCAGTTTTATTTTTCATATCTTCTTTATAATATATGAATGAAAACTGGATGGTGAAACATTTGATATTTGAATTATTTACATAAAATTCTTTTAAAATGCATGCACAGCTACTACAGGGGGAGTAGTTTAAAGTCAGAGTGATGTCGATGTCATGATTTTTCTCTACTACGTCAGAAAAGTTGCTGTTTCTAAGCATTATTATTTCTGCATGTTCAGGGTATCTGTTTTTGAAGCGTTTTCCGAAAATGGGTTTGCCGTCTTTGGCTTTTATAGAGACAATGAGAAATGTGCGATTTGGCCATGTTCTGCCAGTTACTCCAGTCCAAAGTAACTCTGCTAAGAAATCGTCTGGGGTGCGTAACTCTAATGAAACAAAAGTAAAAACAAACAAACAAAAAAAACAAAAACATGATGATTAGTAAGTAGAAATAGGCATGCTCTCTCAAATCGAAATTATTGCTGAGCCAGAAAAGAAACTACGCAATTACAACACGAAATAAACTCTGCAATATTTTTGTATCAATTAGAAAGAGCGTTCGATTCTAAAGCAAATTTTATGATATT